TATATATATATATATACACACACTGTACAGAGAAGGGCGTTTGTGAAAAATGTCTAGTGTCAGTCACTTCTACGCTGCTGTGACAGATGGGGGTGCACACACACTGCTTGCTTGGTGCCCCACAGCTTTTTAGGATAATGTGAATACAAAAATGTAATGAAGGCTCCGAGATGCTGTTTTGTGTTTTAGCATCTGTTGCTCATGAGTAAAGCTCCACCTAAAAACTGGCCTGCTGTTGGCCAGACAGAACTAAGTATGTGCATATCATCCCATTTGCATAGCATCTTAATTACCATGGGAACATTTTACTTTTCTTATATTCTGTTGTTTCTTTTTGTTGTGGGTGTGCGTGCATGTGTGCTGTCGCTTAGTCCGATGAGCGTTTTATTTTTCCTCTAAGAGGATTGCTGCTCATTTGTGAGCTTTCAAAAATGGGATGGTTTTCTGAAGTGAGATATCTATGGTTTTCTTCGCTAGTTGCATCTGTAGAATTCCTGTTTAACTCGGATGTTTTCCGTATTTTAAACTGTACTAATTTAGATTGTTTATCATTCAGTAGTGCTTCCAGACACTACCTTATAAAGCAAATTGAGAAATAATTATGGGTTTATGTTTAATTTTGTATTTTTTCATTTTTCTTTGTACCTGCTCAAGTTTTGTCTAATTAAACAAATGGTTTTGTGTCCAGAGTTAAAATGATTGTCTGACTTTCATTTAAAAATAATGTATAAATGTATACCTTCATCACTGGCTCCCCTCTGGTCTGTGTGCTGATCCCTCCTGCTCACTTTGCTCACATATGACTGCACCTATGCATCTAGGCTGTCGTATTGTATAGGATGAATTGGATGCATCACAAACAACGAGTCCAGCTACAGGCAGGACACACCCTCCACACCTAATGGAAAGGTTAGCTTGGAGCAACCGTTCAAAGGTAAACAGTTTTGGATTAATGACATACAGACAAGAGATAATCTCTTGGGAGAAGCGACTGCTCTCCATGGGGATTCCTCCATCCATCCGCCACCTCCATCAGCCACCCCACCCCCCGCCTGTCGGAGGAAGTGGGCGCTGAGGACGATTGTCAGAAACCACAGAGTGGTAAGCTATTCTGCAAACTAATGCCCAAAAAATGCAAATCTTTCTGTCCCCACACACTCGGGTCATGAACCTGCAGTCAAAGCAAGAGCCTTACGCAGGGGTTTTTCTTCAGCACTTCACTTCCGGCGAGCTGATGGACGGCAGCTCCCTCCGGCTTCTCTGCAGTTTTTTATCATCAAACTGACCCGTTTTTTCGAACCGGACTAAAATTGGTCCTCCTTCAAACCGAATTCGGTGTTCAGTGACTCAGAGAGCCGGACGGGATCGTCCAAAAATATATTTTGGTCCAGGACCGACCTGCCGCTCCCCCCCACCGGTCACTCTGAGCGCACCCTGCCGGCCAGGTGACCCCTCGAGCTGGGGAGTCGACGCACGAAGGTCCGGTGTTTTTTCTCTCTCTCTCTGGACCTCAACGAACTTTTATCTGGACCTTTGTGGTTCTACCTGGTTCCGACAAATATCGCCGG